AAAAAAAAAAAAAAAAAAAAGAGCATGTTAGCAAAAACTTGTCAGGAAAGAAATTAATTTATTAATTTATCGTCCAGTCCCAGGTTCCAGAAGCTGTCCCATAGTCAATCTACTGACGCTATGTTTTTCTGCCGTGGCTCATACGCGATAATAGGCAAAACAATAAATTGACGACGGGACCTTCTAGAACCTGGGACCTAGGGGACCTGAGGCTAAATCATGGCATCTGCAGGCACTAGGCGGCCACGAGGGGACTATGAGAGTGTGGGAAGCAGTACTAGGGCGGGGGGGGGGGGGGAAAGGAAGAGGTGAAAGGGGGGAAGGGTGGGAGAAGAGGAGTGAAGGGTGGGGATGAAGGGTATGGGCTGTCTCTTATACACATCTAGATGTGTATAAGAGACAGGAAGGGTATGGGGGAAGGAAAGGGGTGAGAAGGGGGAAGGGTGTGGGGGAAAGGACTCAAAGGAGAGGTGAATGGGGGGAAGTGTGGGGGTGAAGGGTGTGGGGGAAGGGAAAGAGGCTGAAATAGGGGAAGGGTGTGGGGGAAAGAAAGAGGTGAAAGGGGGAAATGGTGGAGGTGAAGGGTGGGTGTGGTAGAAAGGAAAGGGTTAAAGTTGGAGGAGGGTGTGTGTGAAGGGGAGAAGGGAAAGGTGGGGTTGAAAGGGAGGAGGGAGGGGGAGATGGAAGGGTAGGAGGGAAGGGTGTAGGGGAAGGGTGTGAGGGAAGTGGATGGTGTAGGGAAAGGGGACGGTGTAGGGGAGGGGGAGGGGGGAAGGTTGTATTATTCCAACTCCACAGCCTCACAGGATGTCCTGAAGGACACGGCCTCGTTAATGTTCATAAAGAAAGGGTGCAATTCTCCCCGAAGCTTGTAACAAAGTTCTTGTTCTTGTTCTTGTTGGTATTCGTATTCTTATTATTTACGATCCGACGGTGATGGTGATGCGATCCTACGGGATTGGATGTGGTGGTGGCCGTGGGGGTGGTTGCTTGTTCAGCTTCTCCTGGTGACAGGAGTCAATCGCACTCTTGGGATCAGTGACGAGTGGTTTGCTGTGGGCGACTCACTCATACTTGCGGTCCTTGGACAGGTAATGTGTGTATGGGCTGTGACGCCCTCACCTCATTCCTACTATCGCCTGTTCGTTCTTCTGCCGTCTATGTCCTCCCCC